ATACGAGTTATTTTAACATGAAAAAAAATTAGTTACTCACAGTATATGCAAGTGCAAATATAAGAACGCGCTGAATATGTTTGACTTGAACGCATGTGCAAGCGCGGCTGTGAGTGTGTGTGTGCGATTCTGTGTACGTGAGACTGAATATTCTTAAGAATTTTCGTGACAGAATCTTGCATTTTGACGTGTAATATTTTAGATCTCTGGATTGACTGAACCAATTTGATTCGCACTTCTCGCAATCGAAAGCTTGTAATGACATTTATTAAGACAAGTGAAGTTATTTTTTTCATTAATGGTTTCCTTAACAAAATATTTTATGTCAAAGATTCGCCGAATAAAAACTCGAGATAAGATATACACGGCAGCGTCTTGACAGTGACACTCATTTAGCGGATACTTTTATGTACTTGGCGTCGAGACGCTACCGCGTCTCTTGATTCTTGCACGGAAAAGCGCAAAATTTATCCGCATTAGAAGTACAGCAAGATACATGCTTTCAACGTTCAAATGAAAGCATTGACGATTTTATCAGCCGATTTTCACGCATTCAAGACGAGATCATCGCGGTAATCACTGCGCAAAATACGACTCATACAAAAATTCTGATTTAAGAAGAAATATATCAACAGAAAGCGGTAGAAGTATTCCGTCGCAACGTGAAAACAGAAATCGGTGATCATCTTTATTCATTTGATCATCTCGATACTATGAATCTGGCATTCGGCAAATTGCAACTTCGTAAAATGAGGATGCAACGAAACGACAATTACAGAAGATCGACGCCGCATAAATCACAATTTTAAAACAAGGAGTGCAATTATTGCAAGAGACGCGGACACGAAGAAAAGGAATGCAGAACCAAAATATTTCACCAAAATCAACAAAGGCAACAAGGTCAACGCGGACAAAATTTTTTCGAGCGCCGGAATAACAACTAACCACCGGGGTCACAATCGCATCGTTTACATGTAATAGAGCAGAGCGAGACACAACCACTCAACAAGACGACCTCGTGCAAGGACCTAACGGGACTTACATCAGATCCACGAGTTGGACTGAAGATTCCAGGTTTCAAAAAAATAAGTTTTTTAATAGACAGGATCAGACCTATCTTTAACCTCTTGACTGCGTAGAGCGCCTATAGGCGCTCGGTGAGAGATGTTCTCTCGATGCGTAGAGCGCCTGAGTAAAAAATGTTTTTCTCGGTGTACAACGCCGATGTTAAATGCTCATGTAAACTAACAACGCCTTTAGGCGCTATTCATATTTTTAAAAACAAAAGCTTGGAGATCGAGATTACTTTGTCTGTCTATCGTTTGTCTGTAAAAAGCATACGCTTCGTCCAGTAGTTTTGAAGTAGTGCGGCCTTTGTGGATAAACATACAGATATGGACTATGAGTTAGAGTCTGTTTCTGAAGATTCAAAAATAATTGGAGAATTTGGATATAGAGGTACCGTTCAAAATATATTTCGCAAAAAACGTAAATTATCAAGCACTTTAGAATCGGATTTAGAATATGAATACATAGAGCACATTTCAAATTTTCAAGAAATTAATCCTCGGCAACTTCTCTGGAAACAGAAAAACTTGAATCCAAAAATTCACTATTTTAATGAGAATATGTCTGAAATAAAAGCAAACATTCATGACAAATCAATTTTGGAAATTTTCCAGTTATTCTTCTCAGACGGTGTAGTTAATTATAATGTAGAAAAACCAAATAATTATTATACTTTAAAAGATCAGCCATGTAAAATGCATTCACGCTTGAATGCATGGAAAAATACAACAATCGATGAAATGTATCGATTTCTTGCTATATCAATGTTGATGTGCAGAACCAAAAAATTATCTCTGTACGAATATTGGTCAACTGAAAAATTGAGAGAAACACAAAGTTTTAAAAAAATTATAACAAGAGACCGATATCTATTACTATTGAAAATGCTACATTTTTATGACAATAAAAGAGCAACGAAAAACGATCCACTAATAAAAATTCGTAATATTATCAACAAATTACGAGATTCCTTTTCAAAAACATTTTACTCTTTCCGAAATGTATGCATTGACGAAAGCTTGTTACTATTCAAAGGAAGGTGTTTTTTTAAACAATATATTCCCTCAAAAAGAAGCCGATTCGGAATAAAATCCTGTCCTGTGCGATTGTAAAACTGGATATATTTTGGATTTTATTGTATATTGTGGATCACATACGAATATAAATCATAACAAAGATTCAGAAATTGGAAAATCGTGCAATATTGTTATGACGCTGCTACAGCCATATCTGAATAGAGGTCACACTTTAGTCACTGATAATTGGTATACAAGTCCTTCATTATATTTACTGCTTCATCATAATAAAACAAACGCTTTCGAAACTGTCCAAAAAACTAGGCGTGGAATGCCTCTCATGAACAATAAACTAAACAAAGGCGAGTTGACATTTCGATCTACTGATAAATTGTTAACTTTAAAGTGAATGGATAACAGAAAGGTATTCATGTTGTCCACCTGTCATTCTGCCGATATATAGAAACCCAAAAAATACATTATACTACCGGAAGACCAGTATTAAAGCCAAGTCTCATACTGGACTATAATTGTATAAGTGCAGTTGATAGAGTGGATTTGATTTTAAACTCTGTAAAAACTATTCGCAAAAAATTAAAATGGTATGAAAAATTTTTTTTCCATATGCTTGACTTAGCAATTTATAATACATATGTATTATACAAAACTGTGACCAAAAAATCTAAAATTTGCTCAATTTCATTTACGCCTGATTAAAGAAATACTAGAAAAATATCCAAATTTGGAGGAAACATCTAAGGGAAGAACTACTTCTCACAATAATTCATTTCGTCTGACTGAAAAGCATTTTCCATCGAAATATATTAATCCAACAGGAAAAAAGCAAAATGCCCGCCGAAAGTGTGTTGTTTGTGCAAACCACAAAAAACGAACCGAAACACATTATCAATGAATAGATTGCAATGTTGGATTGTGTATTGATCCGTGTTTTAGATTTATCATACACAAAAAGATTATTAAATGTTTGTTATGTTATAATATGTTCAAATGTTCTCGTTCTATATTAAATGTTTTATGTTTTCAATTTACTTTTTTAGTAAATACAAGTGCAATATAATAAAAAGGTGATTTATTTTTATTCATAAGAAACCATGCAATATAAAACAATGCGCTCCGTACTATGACGGTTACTGAGACGGCTGCACTGCTCGATTGGCGCGTTTTTGTTTCCGATCGTCCCGCAGTCAAGAGGTTAATACACGAAGCGTACATTGAAAATAAAAATTTGCGTAAAGTAGACCTCATTGTAATACACGGTGTAACAACTCATTCTTTAAAAACAAAATACGGCGTAGAGATAGAAATGTTCGGAAAAAGCATATATTTCATGTATTAGATAATGATTCGCCAGTTAAGTACGAAGGCATTTTAGGAATCGACTTCCTCACAAAGAATAATTTTGTATTTTCGAATAAAAACTTAATACTCGGAGAACGCGAATTGACAAGCCGTATCCTAGTCCATGCAATAATCGCGATGTGTTGGTAATATTTAAGAATGACACTGGAGTAATCACGAAAACGGACGATCTCGGGCAACCAATCATTCCAAAGCATTTAATAAATGACATTGAGCGCATTGAAGATTTTCATGAAAACTCGATTCATTCAATCGCGAAACAACCGGTAGATAACAAACAATTACGCATGTTGAAAAAAAAAACACGCGACTCTCGCACATCCCAGAACATTCAAAAGAAATTTGGAACATCCTAGAAGAATTCCACGACGTATTTACTCTTCCCGACCCACTTCCCTTGACTAATCTTATCCAGCATGAGATAAAACCTACAGCCGAAATTCCCATTCACACAAAACAGTATCGTTATCCTCCGATACACCAAGAAATAATTAAAAAGCAAGTCAAAGAAATGTTAGAAAAGGGAATAATAAGGGAATCAGACTCACCATATAATTCACCATTGTGGGTAGTACCGAAAAAACAAGACGCGTCGGAAAAAACTATGTAGAGATTAGTAATCGACTAGAAAATTAAATAAAAAACTATTCAAGACGCGTATCCACTTCCAAACATAGACGAAACCATAGATCAGCTAGGAAACACGCAATATTTCTCAGCATTTGACCTAGCGTCAAGATTTCACCGGATCGGAATGAACCCGAAAAACATTCTTAAAACGGCATTTTCGACCACAAACGGACATTACGAATATACGCGTATGCCCTTTGGTTTAAAAAACGCGCCACCGACATTTCAAAGAATAATGAATAAAAAATTAAAAAATTTAGTCGGCAATAGTTGCTTCGTTTACATCGATAATATAATTGTGTACGGAAAGACGATCGAGGAACACAACAGAAATTTAAAAACGTTATTTGAACGATTAAGACAAGTGGATTTGAAGCTACAACCCGATAAATGCGAATACTTGCGTCCGGAACTCGAATATTTAGGTCACTTAATCTCAGAACGCGGCGTGCAACCAAATCTGAAAAGAATTGAGAAAGTCCAAACATATCCAGTTCCCAAAAATCCGAAAGAAATAAAACAATTTCTTGGACTCGTTGGATATTATCGTAAATTCATTAAAGACTTCTCTAAAATTGCAAAACCACTCATACGACTTCTTCAAAAATCCTCAACCTTCAAATAGACAAACAAGCAACAACATTCTTTCGAGTTATTAAAAAATAAACTAACATCAAAACCGGTGTTATCATATCCCGATTAGAACAAACCTTTTGTCCTAACCACAGACGCATCTAACGAAGCGATCGGGGCAATACTCTCACAAGGAGAGATAGGCAAAGATAAGCCATTGGCTTTTGCCTCTAGAACACTTAACAACGCCGAAACACGTTATAGTACCACCAAAAGAGCTTCTGGCAATCGTATGGGCGACAAAGCAGACAGTATTTATTCGGTAGAAACTTTAAAATTATGACAAACTATAAACCGCTAATTTGGCTAATGAATGTTAAAGATCCGAATTCAAGATTCCACTAATAAGATGGAGATTAAAGTTAGAAGAATTCGATTACAAAATCACTTATAAATCGGGAAAAACAAATACAAACGCTGACGCACTCTCACGCATTCCGGTTAATGCAATCAAGTCGGAAAATATAGACAAAACTCAAGAAAAATTTGACAAAATCCAGAGAATTATCGCGGAAATAGAAAGAGAAAAGTTTTATATCAAAATAGCTATTAATAAGGTCCTCGGGAAAATATCGATCCTGACTTCATTACTCCTAACCTCTTACGTGCTCACATTCTTCCTATTATCGAAGACACCGACACAAATCCTTCAAAATGAAGACACTAACAATTAAGGGATTTTTTAGCAAAGAAACACGACAGATGATCGATTCTGTTATTGGTGAACACGATCTGGAAAACAGAGCAAAAACAATTATTGATGGGACACTGTTTACTACTCCATCAATTCCTAGCACTACACCAAAGACGACGCCTCCCCGTAACTCTCCGTCACTCAGTCTTCCTTCTTCCTCTGAACAAGCTCGAACAGGAATCAAACGAATCAAAGAAATAATAACTAAAACCAAGTCGGTAAACTCACTAATAAAACTATATTGTATATCAAAACTCCACCCGAAATCACTAGGAAAAACGAAATCTAGGTTTCTCCACACGCATCGACAGATGAGTACGCAATTGCATGACTTCCTTACTAAAAATGACCGACATCTAAACATAATACATAACCAAAAGGAAATCATTAAATTACTTGCAATTATCAACAAATATTATCTTAAAGAAAAATTATACGTTTACATTTCCGAATACAATCCGGAAATAACAAATAAAAGAGAAATTATCGCGGACGCTCACTCAAGAATATTAGGCGGGCATTATTTAACGGAAAAAACGCTTCAGAAAATTAGACAAAAATACAATTGGCCAAACATAATAGTGGACGTAGAAGAATTTGTTAACAAATGCGAAATTTGCCAATTGAATAAACGGGGAACTCAAAAACCTTATATTTATTCCTCCCCTGACATTCCTAAAGCTCCTAACGAGGAAGTATCTCTCGATATAATGAGACCATTTGAAATAACTACCAAAGAAAATTGCTATATTCTTGTGATCCACGACTATTTTACTCGATATATTCTAGCAGAACCACTTATTGACAAATCAACAGCGGCAATCATAAAAGTCCTTTGGCATTCTTGGCTCAGATACTTCGGTAAACCAAAAGAATTTCTTACTGACAACGCGCTCGAATTCACGTCGAACAAATTCAAAACTTTATGCGATAGATTGCATGCAAAACACATCCTTACCTCAATCTACCATCCTCAATCGAACGTGAAAAACGAGAGATCGCATATTATACTAACAGAATACATAAGATACTATATAAACGAAAGTGAGCAATGGGATATGATACTACCCCAAGCGATGCTCACGTACAATTGCACAGTAAATAAAACTACGGGATATACTCTCTACGAATTGCAATTTGGAAAAAAACCCAATCACATTTTCAGTGAAGAAAATGAGCGATTGGCTCCTCAAAACCAAGTCGATAACATGCGCATACATGAAAACAAATTCGAAGAAGCACGTAGGAACATACGTGAATATCAAGATTCAAATATTTCTAATGAATTTTACGCACCAATTGAAATCAAAGATCTAGTGTTAGTGAAAAACTTCAACGCAAAATCTTTCGAACCACAGTGGAAAGGTCCTTTCCCTGTGATCCGACATGATAATTATGTAACGTATCATGTAAACAAAAACACGGTAGTAAAACAATATCACCGAAGTGACATTAAACCTTTTATTTCAGATCGCAAAGATGAATCCGAGATTGATCACTTTCCTGATGATAGTAATTCTACAGTGTCATCTGAATAACGGGGAAACTGAAAAATATTCAATAAAGCAACTTGACAACGACGAAGTAGTCTATTTAGAAACAATAGCTAAAATAAAATTGTACCACAAACAGTGGAAAATTATAATAGGGTACGACTTATCCGACGTAGAAAGTCATTTCGCGGAGCTCCAAGGAGCTTATGATCAGTTAGCGGAAAAATGCATTAACACAGTCCAAAACCGTAGCTGGACTTGTTCTTCTAGGCTTAGAATCCACAAACAACGTGTAGAATTAAGTGAAATAGAAAGCGATTTAGAAAACGTATTATATTTAGCAGGAGTCCGAACGAAGAAATCGAGAAGTAAACGCGAGCTCTTCGACTTTGTAGGCGAAGTTAGTAAAACGCTTTTTGGCACATTAGACGATACAGATGCGGCCTATTATAATCAGGAGTTAGATAAATTGTATAAAAATCAAAGAAATCTCGTACAATATGTTCAGAATCAAACGAGTATGATATTCAAAACGTTTGCGGGTGATAAAGAACTTGCGAATGAATTCTCCAGCTCGATAGAACGTATGAATGCACAGTTCAACAAATTTAGAGATTTAAGCCAAGCTAACGAACTTAACATTTTGATAGATGAGAGCCTACTCGACTTAAATAATGAAATGCAAAGATTAATCAGAGAAATAGAGAAATCAGAAAAACTAATTGTTGACGCGAGTATGGCACTGTGCAGCCATATATTCTATCTCCCAGAAAGCTTTTTGATGTCCTTAGAGAACATAAACATGTCGACAATTTTCTTGTACTACTGGAGGAAACATATTATATGACTCTCATATATATAAGCGATGTATCCATAGTTTTAACTGAAAAACGGTTGTTAGTGCAACTTTTAATTCCTTTAACAAAAGATAAGATTCTAGAATTAACTAAGATTATATCTTTACCAAGACACGGCTGGCTGAAACAATCTATCATAGATACAACCCAAAGACTCATACTCATAGATCCTTATAGAACTACTTTTAGCCAATTAACGAACTAGAATTAATGCAAGCGAAAAGATTAGGCGATTACAAATTACTGAAAAGAACGTATCCAGATTATAAAACCGGAATAAAAGATAATTGCTTGAGCAAAATACTAATTAAACATGAATAAAAAAAATGTACGACAAAGTACATGCAAATACAGAACACGTTGTGGATCCAGCTCCACACGAATCAAGATTGGATCGGAATTGCACCCAAGGAGGAAAATTTTCATGTCCTTTGCTCAGATAAAAAACGTAGCGTGCGGGTTTAATCAAAACTTTATACTTCATCTAGAACTTGATTGTACGACTCTAAAGCCCGAGAATCTAATTAAAGAAACCATTGAAATTCATCAAACCATTCGAGTACCATCGCACGAACAACTTGATAACATTTTTGCGAATTACAACATACTCATGGATATAATAAAAGAAACACATATAGATCTAGAAAAATTACAAACTCTCGGTAAAACACTAGGTGAATTAAACATCATCGCAGACCAAATATTTAGATAATCACAGAACGATCACCTGGAAAGAAAGATTCATGTACTACCTTCATTTAACAGGATATATAGCTCTTGGCTCTATCCTTTTTGTTCTCTTTTATAAAATAGGGCTCTTTTCAAGCATTATCAGTCTCGTTAAACAATTGCTCGGAAATTGCTATAACCATTGCAGTTTTGGAAATCAAGCGCCAACTCAACATGTAAGCTATACCGGAGGTCGAGAACCTAGAGTAGTTTTACCTTTAAATGACCAAGTGCAACCTGATACACTCCGTAGACTTCTAGATAAAGTTTGATTATACATCAAATTTTTCTATAAGGTGGGAGGTGTGACTATAGTACAGTAGAGAGCACCATATCGTGCGGCTCCAGGGGAAGTATTTCTCGGAAATTTCTTCTTTAGTTGCTCCTATTACTGCGCGCTCTTCTCTTTCGATCTCAGACCGTTGGCGGAGACCGAAAAAGAACGGCGCGCGATAGTATAAAGCATCCAAAGGAGAAATTCCTGAAAAATATTTCCCCTAGAGCCGCACGATATGGTGCTCCCTACTGTACACGTAATACATTAAATATCTTTCTTATCATTATCTACTTCCTTCCTCAACTCTCTCCCACGATGGTACAAAGGATTTTCCCTTTTTTTTTTCTCAAACACAAAGTCCAAGTACAAAGATCTTTTTTCGAGTAGAAGGGTCCTCTACCGAAATAAGTATAAGTACTGCCCTCGAATAGGACGCGGCAGTCAGTCTGTTACATCAAGTCGTGCGTGTCAGTTACTATAACCGATCGTCAAGTAACCATTGTCTCAGTCGTGCCGTCTATAAGTAATACTCTGCGAATTCTAAAGTGTAAGTGACAATTATAATAAAGAATATTGTAACTCTGAAAGTGAATAAAATTGTTCTTAAATGAATGAATAGTAAAGGCTCGTGAAATTGTCAAACTAAGAATGAAACAAGGCCGATACGAGCCATTCCCAGGATGTTGTGCAGGAATAAACGTGCATGTATATATATATA